CAAACCACAGGTTGAGAACCGCTGGCTTAGAGGATCATCTTCCAGCCCTTCACTGTCAGCCTGTTTGTCTTTGGAGCGGAGTCTCCTGGAGGCAACATGTAGCTGGGTCTTGTTTTTAAACCCATCTCTCTACTCTGTGTCCTTTGATTGGTAAGTTCAATCTATTTATATTTAGGGTGATATTGATATATGAGGACTTGCTTTAGCCATTTTATCTTTTTTAAAAAATATATTTTTATTGATTTCAGAGACAAAGGGAGGAGAGATAGAAACATCAATGATGAATCATTGATTGGCTGCCTCCTGCACGCCCCCTTGTGGGGATCGAGCTCACAACCCAGGCAGGTGCCCTGGACTGGAATCGAACCTGGAACCCTTCAGTCCACAGGTCGACGCTCTATCCACTGAGCCAAACCAGCCAGGGCTGTCTTTCATTTTCTGGTTGCTCTGTATTTTCATTGTTTCTTTTCCATTGTGATTCCATCTGCTATTTTAGTTTGGCAGTTTTCTATGATTGTTTCTGTTTTCTCATTTATGTTTCACATCTCAGCTCTGGATTTTTGTTTTGTGGTTATCATTAGGTTAGTGTACAGTGTATCATACATACAATAGTCCTTCTAATGGCAACTCCGTTTTTATGATTTTGTTATAAGTTATGTTATACACTTGTTACAAAATTGCAGCCATTATAGTTATTTGTAATGCCCCCGTTTCCCCTGTAACCTTTATAATTATTTAAAACCCTATTCTGAAGTAGAATTGCTATTTTCTGTTGTTAGTCATTTTACTCAAAATTCTGTATACTGTTGATTAAAATCATTTTATTAATTTTAGAGAGAGGAAGGAAGAGAAAGAGGAAGAGAGAGTGAAAAACATCAATGTGAGAAACATCTATCGGCTGCCTCCTGCACACACCCTGACCGGGGACTGAACCCACAACCCAGGCATGTGCCTTGACTGGGAATCGAACCGGTGACCTTTTGGTGCATGGGAGGATGCTCAACCAACTTAGCAACATAAGCTGAGCTCACTCATTTTTTAAACTTAGTTTTCTCTCCTCATCCTCCTGACTTAGTTCTGGGTTTCTATCTTCGGATCCCTCTTCCAAGTGATCTCTATTTCCGGTGCTCTCTAACGCCTTCCTCATCTCATTTACTGCGTTTTGCAGTTCCAGAAATTCAGTTTGGTTCTTTTTGTAATTCCAATCTCTTTAGTAAAGTACTCCTTTTGTTCGCAGATTTTATATCTGAGCTCATTAAGCTGCCTTTCTGAGTTCTCGTGTGACTTGTTGAGGTTCTTTACAACTGCAACCTGCAATTCTCTGCCTTTTAAGTCAGTCGTCCAGAACTTTGAGGGGTTTTTTGGAGACTATTTTCTTTCTGTGTTCCCACTGTACCTTGGTTGCTCATGGTATTTGATGGATGGTCTGCCCACCCAGTTGGGGTAGTGAACTCATTTCTTATCTACTGTTTTGTTCTCAACAACTCAGCAGGTAGGGTACTTTCTTTTGGTCCCCAGCAGATGGTGTTAAAGTTTTGTTTTCTGTTACCGGCACTGTTTGGGCCTCTGGGATCACTGTGGAGCAGCATCAGCCCGGTTAAGGAAAATACTGCACACTCACTGGGATGGCGGGGGTCACCCCCCCTGTGGTGGCGGAATGTGGTGGGTGGTGGACCGGTTTTGTGAGCTCCCAGCACCACCTCCCTTTTACTCATGGTCACTGCCCCCACTGTGTTTTGGAAGCATTTCCACTGCCTCTACCAGGCTCTGCCAGGACGGGTAGAGTATGAGTGAGTGTGTGTGTGTGTGTGTGCATGTGTGGGTATGTGAGTGTGTGCGCGCACAGGTGAGGGGAGAGGCCACGCAGAGGACCCTACTCACAGAGGAGGACAACTCTTTCTTACCACAAGCTAACGCGGGGGCCGACTTCCAGGAGGCGATCTGAAAGGGGTAGTTCCAGGCTCCTATGCCCACGCACACGCCCAGCGGCTCTCGTCGGGTGTAACCGAAGGACCCGCCTGGGAGCTGGATATGCTCGCCTAAGGGGAAGACAGAGCAGAGGAGGAGGTCTGCTGGCCCCCAGGCCTCACCAACACCTGTGCTACCTAGGGCTCCACCTGCCTCCGGGCTGCTCGCAGCACGCGGTGCCCCCTCCCCCCCGCACTCTGTCCACTCTTGTCACTACTCTGCTCCTGCACCTCCTCGACACATAGCATCCACATTCAACCCACGGTCACCCCCTTCACTTCCTCTGAGGCGCACTGGGCACCCAGCAGACGACTTAGGTGGCATGAAGGGAGGAGACCCAGGCCGGTCTCACCCCGAAGTCTTTGCCCTTCACCTCGGCTCTGCCCTCTCCCTCCCGCAGCTGATGGAGGAAGGCCGGTCAGGAGGGCTTACCGGCCATGGACCCCGCCAGGCCCGCGTAGTACTCCAGGCACTGCCAGGAGGTGTCGATGTCCAGGCGGGCCTCCAAGATGGACTTGCCGTTGTTGATGCTCTCCACGGTGGCGATCTCATCCGTCCGTTCCTGTGGGCGGCAGAGACTAGATTTAAGACACGTTACCATACACCACAGCAGTCAACACTCACACAAAATACACGGCCCAGTTTTGAAAAATAAAAACATCTTTTTTTTGTAACGTTACATTTACGCAGGTTTCACAGACGCAACCACTCCAATTTTTTTTAATGTTTTTATTGATTTTAGAGCACGAGGGAGAGACAGAAACATCAGTGAGAGAGAAACATCAATCACTGTCTCCTACATGCCCCCTACTGAGGACTGAGCCGAAAACCTGGGCCTGGGCCCTCACCGAGAATCAAACTGGTGACATCTGGGTGGACGGGACGACGCTTAACCAACTGAGCCATACTGGCCCGGGTGAAACAACTTTTACTTACATGAAAAGGAATGGCAGTCTTACACCGGCAAGAGAGATAAAAGCTTATTGCTGAGCCCTAGCCAGTTTGGCTCAGTGGATAGAGCATCAGCCCGAGGAGTGAGGGTCCTGGGTTCAATTCTGGTCAAGGGCAGGTGCCTTGGTTGCAGGCTTGATCCCCAGCCCCAATCAGAGC